TGAGTTTTCTCTTTTAAGCTGATAACTGCCACTAAATATCGAAAGTGGCGTGTTGTAGAGCGGAAAAGGGAACAAGTGAAAAAAGGGGTCGCATCGAATGAACGAATGGGAAAGTCCATAAAACATACCCACCACCCCCCACATCTACGTCTACTATATATATATATACACTCTAGGCAACTGAAAAGAGGAGAGTAACTGCTCCTTTGTTTTTTCGGCGAGCACAATAAACACGACGTACGGCCCCTCATATATATGGCAAAGCATCAGCCCTGGGTTGATGTCGAGGTTGATGTGCGATGTTCTCTTCGTTCGGGAGCATCCAGAGAAATTTTTCAGCGGTTGTCACGTGTTGCTTTTTACCCTTCGTATATGTTTGTACTTGCACCAAAAATGTACATCGATATATGTATACATATGAGGAGGAAAAAAAAAAGGGAAAAGGGGCTTTGGAGAGAAGAGAAAGGGGGAAAGAATAGGTTTGTACCTACATACATGTGTAGGCGTGTGTATATACCATGCAGGGACATTCCCGGCCACACTCAGTGGCAGCGGAATCACGGTTTGTTGTAATTGCCGCTCGAGTTGTTGCTGCTGTTATTACCTATATGCTTGTGGTTTAGGTGGCCCCGTTCACTGTGTACCATCCACCTGCACGGGTGCTTGACTTTCCTATAAAAGGGCTCTTTGACCGCGGATGTTCTCGATGATTATTTTTATGATTTTCACTAAGTTGAACGTGGAAACAGTTGCCAAGTATTTTTACCATCCCTTTCAAGTATATATGTATATATATACAAAGCTACAAGATTGACATACGGTGTGTATATGTACAAGCACGGAGGTTCAGCTCAAATATAAATACATTATAATATGTACAATTATTGAACGAGCCATTAATTGAATTGTTTATTATGACTATATGTGGTGTTGAAAATTGATAACGAAATAACACTCGCTATCAAGGAAACATTAAAATTATTCATAATAACGACGAGCATTGAAACCTATCGCTTCAGCGGTAATGTCGTTTAAAAGAGTTAACGACACAGTACAATATTTCAAAGTTTGTTTCAAATTAATTTTGGCAGACAATTTTTGCGTGTCAAGTGGAAATATATAAGTAGTACAGGGAGTCGACGAAGACCACTTTGTTTGGAATGAAAATTTCAGAGGCTCTTATTGAATAGCGAAAAAAAACTTTTCCTTCCCAACTTCGTTAACTTTGTTTTCACTACGCGTGGGTCTGCGTTCGCCTGGGCAATTCTTCCGCACGAATACTCGAATGAATTAAAAATTTCAAGCTCACGTCGTTTTTTTCTTTTTTTTTTTTTTTTTTTTTTTCCAACTCTGCTGGCTCTAATTTTTAATTGAATCTCCGCTGAACACGACCAAGTCAACTCGATCCCTTGAAGGTTGCTTTTTCATTAAAGAAATACAACCACGGCACGCGATAAGAAAAAAAAAAAAGAAAAAAAAAAAAAAAAAAAAAAACAGGAAGAGTGGGACAACAAATAAAATAATTAAACTATGTAAGNAAAAAAAAAAAAAAAAAAAAAAAAAAAAAAAAAAAAAAAAAAAAATCACTACAAAACCCCGATGAATGTCGAGACCGTTAGGACCGATAAAAATGCCAATAGACGTACAGCACATTGTTTACGAGTGGTATATGTACATACGACTCGATGGTTTCTTCCAATACACGAGTAACGCACAATTTTTAATCGCCAGCCTCGTCATCGCATTAATGAACGCGTCCTCGAGCAAAATATATATGTATTCGCGCATCATATACGGTATCAAGACGAGATGGTTTGAGGATTTGTAGAAAAAAATATGAACGGCATGGATGTACGCGGCAACAACAACAGAGGCGGTTGGTATTTCTAAATCGTTCGAGTGTTCGTAAGTGTCTCTCAAGAACAAACATGGCGCGGATACTTACGTAAAACTAGAGAGAGAAAAAAAGCGAATACCAACAGCAGAAGCAAGCGACTCTGCTCGCGTTGTTATAATATAAATATACACGTACCTTTGGACGAGATAAATCATCCTCGAGTGGCTCGGCCCTTTCTCACCCCGTACCCTATACACAGAGCCTCGGTTTGATCAAGCGTCTATAGACCCTGGAGTATAATTATCTGCAGGCCAAAGTTTCCAAAACCGAGTGTGATTTGTTTGTTTTCGTGAATTAGATTTTCTACGTATGCGCAATATACGGAGCTATATGAAAACATACATATATATTCAGTTGATTTGCTCTCTCGTGGCCCAAGTCAGAGACGATGTATTTGCTCGTGATGACGAGTAAAAGCGCGTTATCGAGCTCAGATGGAAATATCTTCCATGTAAATATAAAAATACACCCCCGAGCGACCTGAGCCGATATGAAAAGTCTGTCGGGTCGTCACAACCGATTGTGGATGGCTTCTGTTGTTTGGTATATATACATGCTCTCGACAAGGGCTTCGCGAATAAAACTCCACTGTATATACTTATACAGTATCAGCAAACACAGCACGAGGCGAAAGTACACTTGTTATAAATACTTACCGTAAGTATTACGAGTACAACCACGACACAAGGCAATCACTCGCGGTATGCGGACGCGCGAGGAGCCTCCCAGCGGTTTTCGCTCCTCATTACCGAGGAAACGTATCACGCAGACTCTCATGGGTTACTCGAGTGATGGATCGGGTGTTTGTTCATCCTCTTGTTTTCGATGAAAACCTTTTGTTTGCGCGCGAGGGGGTGGAACGAACGAATGCTGAGGGCATCTATTTTTAAAACTTTGAATGATTATTCGGCTGGTCGTTGAACAACATGTACAAAGAGCGGGCGAAGCCAGGTTAGGGGGAGAGGAATAAACGAAAATTCACGGGAGAGGGGTGTGTGAATAAAATCAACGATAAACATCTAATTTACGCCTCTACGTTCCTCCATCGGGTATCGTTGCAACAAATCTAGAGCAGTGTGTATATAATAATAATATGTGGTACGTGGCTTTAGCGCGCGATTCATGAATATCGTTGACACGCGAAAACCTTCTTGTTAATTGTTACCATAGCCCGTGTTGGGGGGAGGGAGTATTGGCTAACAAAAAGACTGTTGGTATTAATATAATTTAACGCACGAATGGAATAAATAGTTGTATTTAATTTATTATAATTGATTATAGGAACGTGCCTGCACAAAAAATATTCAGTCCTTGCACTGTAAAATCCCTGCTTTTTATTTCAACCTGTTTATAAATTTATATGATACCAATTGATCTATCACTTGGAGGTTTACGAAGTAAAAAAATAGTTTTTAATTGAAAAAACAACCTATGCAAGTTTCATACAATACGTGAAATGTTAAGTTGAAGCACAAATGCACGCACGAAAAATTAGTTTCATGGCTATACAAAAATAGTTGAAAATAAACCATATTAGTTTCAACCATATTGGTATATTAATTTTCTTATGGCATTGGTCGTTTGAAGTATACTAAAAACTAATCTAAATTGGTTAAATGATTGCCATTTACTAGTTTTTTTCTTAATGAATATTGCTCCACTTTTGGTTACTAAAAAAGCACGTCTGTGGAAATTTAAAAAAAATTTAGATTGTTTTTTGTCGGCAAAATATACTTAAAATTCAAAACAATGATTTTAACAGATTTACTTGTCACTTTTGAGTATTTGTATCTACGTGATTGTACACCGTTGATTTTATATCCGCTTGTTTCACGCGCGAATCAGTACATAGCTGCTACTTCTACACATAGTGTATATACACGTGGGTACATCGGAATGTGGCAAATTGGCATTTTCATCCGATGAATAAAATGAAGGAAGTGAGGCCTCCGCCTGTAGTAGCCAACTCCCGCTCTCCAACTCTGACTCACGCGCTGCTTGATACGTCCATGTACATGTGGCGGCGAGGTGTTTCTCGCGTGTGGATGTGCGCATTTATTTAAATTGATCGTTACACGGGTGTAAGAGTTTGCGCTCAAAGTTTTCTCTATATTAATATAGACGTAGCATCTCTTTTACCTCTTTTTGTTTGACTATGATATCACGAGAAAAAAATAAGTATTTTTCGTTACACAATTAGAGACTCGTTTTCTGTTTCCCGTGCATCACACGTGTACCTGTGCTGTTGATCATTTTTATTTGTGTCCGCATTCCACTGTGTTATACAATTTAATTACATTTAATTGGATTTTTTATCACCACCTCTGGACATTATATCATTTTTTTTTTTTTTTTTTTTTTAATCAACTAACTATTTCATGCCACGAGGTGATAAGTCCGAGGTCAGCCACTATTTTCGTGAGACGACTCATAGTCGCGCCCGAAGTCATCGATCCTCTCGTACTAGAAATATTTTACCTCCATACAGATCATACATTTTTTTTAGTCCACACACGCTTTAAATTGATAATAAAATGGTACGTTCAAAACTAATAAAACATCTGGAAATATTTTTGGAATAGCGCGGAAAATACATATTTGTCGTACAATATATATAGCCTGTATGGTGTATTCAAGAACTCATCGTGTATATGTGCCTATTTGGTATTTGTACACATTTAATTGACCGTTCACAAATATAAAATGAAAAAAAGGAATTCGAAAAAAATGCAACGGCAGTACAGTTATAGTACCAGGAGGAAAAAGCGCTATGATTTTTTTCTAATTTCATACGAATGTGTTAGATGTAAGGAGTAGAAATTTTATTACTTGTATGAAATGGTTGCAATAAAAATAATTATTTTTCATCCGTGTCGTAACGGATGTGTGCCACCACGAGCTGTGAGTACTTGGTCGGAAGCCCGGCATTCCTGATGGTGTAGCTCGGAACAGGTGTCCGTTTAGTTTCTTTCGTGTAGCCGCGTGCCGAGAATAATACAAGCGTAGCAACGTTGCCGTTAAACGTATACACTCACCCCGGCATGGCCGGCAATTGCGTCAATTGGCCCTGATTGACGTGGATGTTTTGTTTTCTCTGTTGCAGACATACCAGAGATACCGGAGAACATCAAAAACCTACGCTCGCTGCAGATCGCCGATTTCAGCAGTAATCCCATACCAAGGTAATTTTCGATATTTTTTCATTGCTTTATCTTTTTTTTTTTTTTTTTTTTCATACCATGACTACTTTTTTGTTGAAATAATTAATTTCGGTCTTGATAGTTTGCCCGATAAACTTCTTCGTACGTATATTTACCATTTTCAGATTAGGGTTGTATTGTTGGAATTATATTTTATTTTTTTAACTGGTTAACTGCGATTCGTATTTTTTTACAGTGGAATCAGTGAAGCACTGACCTTTTGCATCGAATATTGTATATTTGTCTATTAAATTCATATGACTTTTTTACTTATGTTTGAAGTAAAAGAGTATAAATTAAAGTGGCCAACAATAATATCGTCGTACATTTTCATTATTTCGTAATTCTCGACAAAACAGCGACTACTGAGAACCTGAATCCACTCGAGTGCTCTCGTTCTTTATTTATAAAAAAAAAAAAAAATTTGATAAAAGTGGAGCTTGTGGCCTGTTTCACGTGACACATAGTCATTAGTAAGTTTTCCACTATAGACAGATCATTTTATCTTCAACAAAGTTTTTATAAAAAAAAAGAAAAGAAAAAAAGAGGTAAGAGAGAAAAGTCTATTTGGGAGTGGCATCTCATTAAAATGCAAAATGTATAGCGAGGAGGGGGGGGGAGGGGGCGAACGACGAAAGGCTGCTGAAAAGTTGAAGGTGAGCTATAAAAAAAAAGTGGGTTTTCCTCCTTCCAGGCTTCCTTCCGGCTTCGTCGAGCTGAGGAACTTGACAGTCCTTGGCCTCAACGACATGTCCCTCTCGCAGCTACCGCCAAATTTCGGAGGGTGAGTCTTTCATTATTTCTTCTTTATCTCTATATACGTTTATGTGATTATTCATACATCTTATGTAATATATTATGTTCTTATCTCGGATTAATCTTTATCCCATCAATTTAAAGAAAAATCCAAAGTTAAGATGCTCGTTCTGGCACTTTAACTTCTTTTCAAGTGTAGCGATAACATCGTGGTGATAGCTCCTATAGTGATAACGAAAAGTTCTAAGGACCGTTAAATAAGAAACAAAAAACTGTATTTTGAAGATCTTTGATCATCATCGGGTCTGCGTGTAAAAAACGGGAAAAAAATGTACATGTATGTATAAGGCTCTTCTTATATTGCAGTCTCGAAGCACTACAGTCGCTGGAGCTCCGGGAAAACTTGCTCAAGTCATTACCCGAGAGCCTCTCGCAGCTCAAAAAGTTGGAAAGGCTAGACCTTGGCGACAACGACATCGAGGAATTGGTAATTTTTCCGCTCGCTTCGACCACACACAATATGTACTTTTACCGATCATCGTCACAAACGTCATGCTCCTTTGCACCATCTATATTATTTAATTATAAACGTACACGTGTACCCATTACACCACTCGATCGTACTCTCTACTGTAACTCGGACCGAGAAGATAAATGAGAGTCCAGTTGAGAGTTGCAATGCTTATACTAGCTCTTGATGGGATGACTTGACACATGTTTTCTTTCTCGTACTCATCGTCAAGCACTTTATTTACATCAAGAGAAGCCGCCCATGTACGTTTATAATAATACATCGGCTCGTCGTTGAACATTTCAACCGTAAACGACGATTATACTTTGCCCTGGAGTAATTAACAAAAGCCCTAATCATTCACACGCATAATATACACAAGTACATCTCTTGAGTGGGTAAAGAGAAAAAAAAAAATGATCGACATATCCATGAAATGTTTGGCCCACAGCCGTCGCACATAGGGAAGCTTCCGGCGTTGCAGGAGCTCTGGTTGGATCACAACCAGTTGCAGCACCTGCCCCCGGAAATCGGGCAGCTGAAGACCCTCGTGTGCCTGGACGTGTCGGAGAACCGGCTGGAGAGCCTGCCCGAGGAGATTGGCGGCCTCGAGTCCCTGACCGACCTCCACCTGTCCCAAAACGTCATCGAGAAGCTACCCGACGGCCTGGGCGAGCTCACGAACCTCACCATACTCAAGATCGACCAGAACCGCTTGTCCTCGCTCAACGCCAACGTCGGCAACTGCGTCAGTCTCCAGGAGCTCATACTCACCGAGAACTTTTTGCTCGAGCTCCCCGTCACGATAGGCAACCTCGTCAACCTCAACAATCTCAACGTCGACCGGAACAGCCTCCAGTCTCTGCCCACGGAAATCGGTACTAAACCCCCGCCCCCAAATAACCGATAATCGAATCATTTCTCCTCCAAGCAGTGACCAACGCGTCGTTTCATCTGTCGCAGGCAACCTGAAAAGGCTCGGTGTGCTGTCGCTGCGGGACAACAAGCTGCGCTACCTGCCGGGCGAGGTCGGCCAGTGCACGGATCTACACGTGCTCGACGTGTCGGGCAACCGGCTGCAATACCTGCCGTACTCCCTGGTCAACCTGAACCTCAAGGCAGTCTGGCTGAGCGAGAACCAGGCCCAACCGATGCTCACCTTCCAGACGGAGGTGGACGAGGAGACCGGCCAGGAGGTCCTCACTTGTTTCCTCCTGCCCCAGCTCGAGTACCACAATGACGGTGAGTCGAGGTGGTGTTTGTCGCCGCTGGTTGTGCAGTACGCGTAACGTGGGTGTTTTTGCAGAGAGCTCGAGGCTGGGCATGATGATGGGCATGCGGAACCACAACAACAACGGGGCGACGTCGTCGGGCGCAGCGAGTCCGGGTAACGGCGGGGAGATGCGGGAACTCGGGGCCAACGAGAGCAGCGACGAGGAGGGCTGGTCGGAGAGGGAGCAGTCGAGGACCCACAGCGTCAAGTTCTCGGACGAGCCGCCCGAGGCCGACAAGGAGGTGAGCTCGCCCTTCCTCCTACTACCGGGGAGGATGCTGCCCGAGGAGGCGGACAACGACAGACCGCGCCGACAATCTTGTTGCGGTCGTTGCCGTCCGCGGAGCGCTTTTTTCACACTTGCGATGATCAATGATTGTCTCGGTTGTCTGGTGCGCCGGGCCACTGCTCGTTTTTCATGCATGCGACGCGCCGACTCTTACGGCTCACTCGCGCACCAACACTCTGTCTACTAATATTTTTAACAACTTTTTCTTTTTTCCATTTTTTTTTTTTTTTTTTTTTTTTTTTTTTTTTTTTTTTTTTTTTTTTTTTTT